AAGATTGTGGGGAAGAAGGTCTCTCTCTATGAACTGTCTCTCAAGGGTGAGAGACCTTGGGGCCACCATTCTCGGAACTTCGTATAAGCTATTTCGCTCACAAATCTATCGGCCCACACCTTGGCCTTTCTGGACCTGGCCAACCCCCCAACATTGGTGTCACCCCCTCTCTAGCCATCCGGGACATCGTCATCATCAATAGTAATAGGGGCAGCTGGTAAGACCGAAGTTGTAGCAGGTGGGGAAGATAGTGCTGAAGCCTCACTACCTTCCTCTGAGCCATCAGACGACTCAGAAGAGGAGGTAGGTTCATCAACTAGATGGAATTTCCCCTAGAATTGTGTCAGGACATGTGTGGCATAAAGTCTCTTTCTGAAGCTTCCTGGGGAAGGGACATACTCACTGGTGTCAGAATGGTCTGCTGCTTTATCTGCAGCTTTGATGGAGGCTTAACTTTCCAATCGGCTTTTGCACTGCTAGGGGTATCTTAGTCTTTCCTTTACCCCTGCCTTGGGAGGGTTCTGCCTCCCTTTAGATGTATCACCTCTGCATCTGGAATAAACCATTATCTGCAACATACAAGCAGTGAAATATAGTCAGAAAAGGGTTTCAAGGATGTGTTAAACAAAACACAGATAAAATGCAACACTGCTTCTTAGAGCAGGGCACCGCAGACCGCGTAAAAGTGAGAGAGACCGTGAAATGCCCATCGCGGATTACGGAAAAGTGAACGCGGCTACGAAGAGGTCAAATTTAGACTAGTTACTCTCTGATCTTGGACAAACACAGACAGTAAAAAATTAGACACGGCTGCGAATGATCAACCGTAGACCGCAAAAAGGTGTATGTGGTCGCGAAAGCAATTAATAGATTCTATAAAGTTCAAAGGTACGGACCGCGAGAACTTAAACGCGGCCACGAAGGACCAGCTGCGGACCGCGTAAAAGTAACCGCTGCCGCGAATTTATATTAATACTCAGTAATTAAAAGCTAGGGTATCGCGGACCACAAAAAACTGAATGCGGCCGCCTACCCTACCGCGGACAGCAAAAAACTGAATGCGGCTACCTACCCTACCGCGGACCGCGGAAAATTGACCGCCGCCACAAAATTCAAACGCAATTGGTACTGATGAATGCTGACAACTAGGGTTTTCACTAAGTGTTCAAAAATTAGTTCAATTAACCATGCAAAGTTATTAACCCTATCCCCCATTAGGCATATAAACACTACCCACATGTATTTAAGCATCAATTAATTTTAGATTATAGCGTGCATCTAACCCTAACTTAAAAGAAACAAAATTAAAACAAGGAGAAAAGAAAAGAAAAAGATAAAATCAAATCATGGAATTGAACATACCAGTTGTAAAGTTTTAGTAGGAAATGAACTCTTGATTAGAATGAGATGAAATTGAGAGCTAGAAGAGATGAACAATACTTTTGGGTGCTATGAAAAGTTGGGTATCGTAAAGTGTAAAATGTTCAAGGAACCCCTATTTATACTTAGGCACTATGGAACCCACCACCTTACCTAAGCGCGGCCGCAAAATTCTATCGTGGTCCGCGCTTTATTACCTTATGTAGAGCAGCTTCAAGCACCTGGGTGCGATCCGCGAAATATTGATCGTGACTGCCAAATTATCTCGGTCCGAAAATGTGAACACGGCCGCGAATCATGAAGGGGCTGTGATAGATCAACTTCAGAGAGAAGTTGGCATTTTTCGTAAACCAGCTACGCGGTCCGCGTCAAAGTTATGCGGCAATGAAGTGCTCACGCGGTCCGCAAAATTTTAGGCGCAGTCCGCAAACTTTTTCCCCCTTAGCCAACTTTTTGCCTTGTCAATTTCCTGCACTGCATAACCAATTCCTACACACACTTTACAACCAATTAGTTCAAAACAATGCCTAATCTAAGAAGAAAATCAAAAGAAAGAAAAATACATAGGTTGCCTCCCATGAAGCGCATGATTTAATGTCGCGGCACGACGCATGTTACCATCATTCACTTGAAATGAATCAACACCACAATATGGATATCATCAACCTTACTAAGGTAGTGCTTCACTCGATGCCCATTGACTCTTAAGATCTCACTATTCTTGTTTTTCAAATCTAGAGCACCAAAATGAGTTACATGCACCACTTCAAAGGTACCGCTCCATTTTGACTTTAGCTTTCCCGGAAACATCCGTAACCGAGAGTTGAATAAGAGAATAAGGTCACATTCTTTGAATTTATTGTTCCGGGTATACTTATCATGTAGGTACTTATCTTGTCCTTGTACAATGACGAACTGGAGTAAGCATGGAACCGGAACTCATCAAGTTCATTCAATTGCTCCACCCGAAGATTGGCAGCTACATCCCACTCTAAGTTCAACTTCTTCAAGGCTCACATGGCCTTATGCTCTAATTCCACCGGGAGGTGACATGCTTTCCCAAACACCAACTGATATGGAGACATACCAATTGGACTCTTGTAAGCTGTTCTATAGGCCCATAAAGCATTGCCAAGTTTCCTTGACTAATCAGTCCTGTTTGCATTGACAGTCTTGGATATAATACTCTTGATCTCCCTGTTGGAGACCTCAACCTGTCCACTTGCCTGGGGGTGATAGGGGGTTGACACATGTGAGTGACACCATACTTGGAGAGTAAAGTGTCAAAGGCTTTGTTACAAAAATGTGAACCCCCGTCACTAATGATAGCCCTTGGGGTGCCGAACCTTATGAATATGTTTTTCTTCAAGAAGGCCACCACACTCCGTGCTTCATTGTTAGGCAAAGACACAACTTCAACCCACTTGGAGACATAATCCACAGCAATAAGAATATAAGTGTTCCCACATGAACTCACAAATGGACCCATAAAGTCGATACCCCACACATCAAAAATGTCAATATCAAGGATGGTAGTGAGAGGAATCTCATTCTTCTTGGAAATCCCACCAGCTCTTTGGAAATCATCACACCGCTTAACTAGCTCGCTAGCAATAGAATCCATAGCTTAGGAACTTTGTAGCAGTTCTTGCCCCACCATGGTGACCACCATAAGGCGAGGCATGGCAAGTTTCAAGAATACCCAATTTCTCTTCTTCTGGAACGCATCTCCAGATAACACCATTGGTGCAAATTTTGAAAAGATAAGGCTCGTCCTAATAATAATCCAAGCAATCTCGTTTGAGCTTATTTCTTTGGTTTGAAGAGAACTAATTCGGGACAATTCCACTCATAAGATAGTTAGCCACATCGGCAAACCAAGGCATCCCAGTCAAAGACATAGAAAGGAGTTGTTCATCCCGAAACGAATCATTGATCTCAAGGCCATCATGGGGCCTCCCCTACTCTTCTAAATGGTACAAGTGGTCTGACACTTGATTCTCACTCCCCTTTTGGTCTATGATTTCAAGATCAAACTCTTGTAGAAGAATTACTAATCAATCTAGCCTTTGAGTCCTTCTTACTCATCAAATACCGAAGCATCGCGTGATCGGTGTGAACAATCACTTTGGTACCCATGAGGTACGGGTGGAACTTTTCCATAGCAAAGAGAATGGCCAAGAGTTCTTTCTCAATCACCGTATAGTTGACTTAGGCATCATTCATGGTCTTACTAGAATAGTAGACCGGATGGAATATCTTGTTAATTCTTTGCCCCAATACAGCTCCTACCGCCACATCGCTAGCATTACGCATGAGCTCAAATGGTAAGCTCTAATTTGGTGCGGTAATGATGGGAGTGGTAGCCAACCTATACTTGAGTAGCTAAAAATCCTTCATGCAATCATCATTGAACATAAATTTTGCATCTTTTCCAACTACTTGTACAAAGGGTTCACCACCTTTGAGAAATCCTTGATGAACCGATGGTAAAAACCTGCATGCCCTAAAAAGCTCCTCACTCCATTGATGGAAGTAGGAGGAGGGAGTTTTGATATCACTTCAATTTTTGCTTTATCCACTTTAATACCATTCTTGGAGATCTTATGGCCGAGGACAATGCCTTCCTCTACCATAAAGTGACACTTCTCCCAATTAAGCACCAAGTTGGTCTCTTCACATCATGCCAAGACTTTATCAAGATTACCCAAACACTCATCCAAATAATCCCCCACAACAGATAAATCATCCATGAACACCTCGAGGAATTCCTCTACCATATCCATGAATATTGCCATCATACACCGCTGAAAAGTAGCTGGTGCATTACATAGACCAAACGACATCCTTGAGAATGCAAATGTGCCATATGGACAAGTGGATGTGGTCTTCTCTTGGTCTTTAGGTACAATAAGAATCTGGTTATATCCAGAATACCCATCCAAGAAGTAATAATAAGCACGCCTGGCTAACCTATCCAACATTTGATCAAGGAATGGAGGCGGAAAATGGTCTTTCTGAGTCACTTTTTTGAGCTTCCTATAATCCATGAATACCCTCCAACCGGTGACAGTTTTTGTGGGGATCAACTTATTGTTGTCATTTGTAATCACAGTCATGCCCCCTTCTTTGGGAAACATTGTACCGGCGAAGTCCATGAACTATCAGAAATGGGGTAGTCAACCCCAGCATCCAACCACTTGATGACCTCTTTCTTGACAACCTCTTACATGGCCTCATTCAACCTTCTATGATGTTCCACGGAGGGTTTTGCATCCTCCTCCAATATGATTTTATGCATACAAAAGGCGAGGATTATACCCCGAATATATGCCAATGTCCAACCTATTGCTTTCTTCCTCCTTTGGAGCACTGCAAGGGTGGCATCTACCTGCAAGTTAGTTAAGCACGAGGAAAGACTAACACGTAAAGTGGAACAAGGGCCCAAGAACTTCACACCTAAGGTGTGAAGGCAAAGGTTTCAACTCCAATCTGGGAGGCTCCTCAATTGAGGGCTTTGTTGGTGGAGCCTTCTGGTTCTCAAGGTCCAAGGAAAGTTTCTGGGGCTCATATGTATAGGAACTCATTCCTTGCAAAGCATTGACATATTCAACCAACCCTTACTTCTCATCCACATCATAATTCAACAACACAGCTTCCAAAGGTTCTTCTACATTAATCACAACACTTGTATCTTCAACAATCACCTCGGTCACAAGATCCACAAACGAACACACGTCATTACTATTAGGCTGCCTCACTGACTTGCAAATATGGAACACGACTTTTTATCACCCACCCGGAAGGTGAGCTCCCCTGCTTCCACATAAACTAAGGCCTTCCCTGTAGCTAGGAAAGGTCTTCCCAATATGATCGATACCTCGTAGTCAACCTTACAGTCAAGTATCACAAAATCTGCGGGAAGTATGAACTTGTCGATCAAAACTAGCACATCATCGATTATCCCCATCCTATCCGACATTTGCAATCTCATGGATATGGGACTTGGTTGACCAATCCCTAATGTCTTGAACACAGAATATGGCATCAAGTTAATGCTTGCCCTCAAATCACACAAAGCTTTGGCAAAATCGGCACTACCAATAGCGCACAGAATTGTAAATGCACCGGGGTTTTCTAACTTTGGAGCCATGGAGTGCACAATAGAACTCACTTGATGTGTCATTTTGATCGTTTCACAATTCATTTATCTCTTCTTTGTTACCAAGTCCTTCATAAACTTGGCATATCCCTGCATTTGTTCTAGAGCTTCAACCAAAGGCACATTTATGGAAAAACTTTTCATCATATCAATAAATTTCTTGAACTGGTTCTCATTGTTTTATTTTGCTAGAGTTTGAGGATATGGTGGAGGAGGCCTTGGCAAAGGAGCCTTGGTTTTGGGCACTACCATTTCCGGTATGTCTATCACGTGTTTCCTAGACGGGTTCACATCATTTTATGTCTCCTCCACGTTGTCTTCAATGTCTATCCTCACTTCATCATTCACAATATCATCATTCACTTGCACATCATTGCTTTGCTCATCATCATCATCTTGCACCAACACATCATCAGTCACAACTTTTTTTGGATTAAAGGTACTAGTAACTCCACCTCTACCACTTCTTGTAGTCACCGCCATAGCATGGCCCTTATTGTTCCCACCATTTGGGTTTACTACCGTATTACTTGGTAGTTACCACTTAGGGCGAGTATTCAAAGATTGAGAAATTTGTCCAAGTTGGACTTCCAAGTTGTAGGTAGAAGTATTGTGGGAGGCCAATTGGGCATCCGAGTCGGTGTTTTTCTTTATCATTTTCTCAAACATTGTCTCAATCTGTCCCATCTCATGAGCTAGGACCTTGTGATGGATATGGAGGCAGGTTATTTGGTTGTTAATACATTGGAGGCCTTTGAAAGCCCGGCCCCCGATTCCCTTGATTATTGTTGTTCCAACCCCCTTGATTACTATTGCCTCCCCAATTACTTTTATTGTTGCCACCCCAATTTTCTTGGTTTCCTTGGTTGCCCCAATTTTGATTGTTGTTCCCCCATTTACTTTGGTTGTTGTTGTTGCCACTATTCCAATTTCCTTGTTCACCTTGATTTCCCCAATTTCCTTGTGATCTCCATTTTTGTTGATTCAGAGCATTGCCCAGTTGACCCTCATAATTGTTCACATATTGAACCTCTTCACTTTGATCATCATATGCATCATCTTGATTGTGCCCGCTACCACTTTGCTCAAATTGGTCCGGATTATTTTGAACTTGTTGACCTCGTTGCCTTCTCTTATTGATCATCATATTCACTCCTTCCATAGCATTCACTTGTTTTGGCCCTTGAACTTGTTGCAACTGAGCTTTGTCCAATTGGTTCATGGTACTAGTCAACTCGGTTATTGCTTAGCCATGGTCGTGGAGCTCTTTGTGTAGGTGAATAACATTAGGATCACCTTGTGGCAGATCAGCTCGACTTTGCCACGCCGAAGAGGTATTTTCCATATCATCAATTATTTCACACGCTTTGGCATATGGCGTGTTCATGAAGTTTCCCTCGACGAGTTCGTTAACCATACATTGGTTTGTTATGTTGATGCCATGGTAGAATGTTTGTTGGATCATGGCTTCGATCATATTATTATTCGTACATTCTTTAACCATTGTCCGATACCTTTTGCCAAATCTCATGAAGCGGTTCATTTGACTCTTGTTTAAAAGCAAGGATCTCATCTCTTAATGTCTCCATATGTCCTGGAGAAAAGAACTTTGCGATGAACTTCTCGGCCAACTCATCCCAAGTGGTGATGGAATGGTTGGGAAACCTTTCTAGCCAATCCAAAGCCTTTCCCCTTACAGAAAATGGGAAAAGCCTTAACCGCAATGCGTCCTCGGAGATATTAGTTTGTTTGCTCCCTCAGCACATATCAACAAAACCTTTGAGATGCTTGTAGGCATTTTAGTGTGGAGCTTCGGTGAAGAAACCCCTCTGTTCCAAGAGTGTAAGCATGACATTGGTTATTTGAAAGTTTCCTGCCCTAATCTGGGGTGGGACTATAGCACTTACATAGCCTTCGTTGGGCAACGCCCGGTGTGCTACCCTTGCTGGAGGTGGGGGAGGGTTTGGAATATTATCATGAGGTGGTCAGCCGCTCCTTTGTGGTTGAGGTTTGGGTTGAATCTCATCCACATGATCATCATATACCTCCTCCTCCAATGGCAAATTTTTCGAAGGCATCATTATTAGGAGCCATTTGGTACCTAAAAGCAATTCACAAACAAATTAGAAAAACCGAAGGAAATAAAAACAAAAACACACAAATACTCGAATATATAGCTAAAAACGTCTAACTCCCCAGCAACGACGCCAAATATTGATTGCATCCAAGCCTGCACTACTATTGAGTAGCAAGGATGGTCGATGCAGTTTTACCCAACAAAGTCGGGATCAAATCCACAGGGAGTTAATTTGTTTTGAAGTTGGGTTTATATCCAAGTAGAGATGCGGGTTTTGCTCTTAATTGCACTTCCACAAATGGTTGGTTTGTTTTCTACTTCTATTTCTATTCTATAGCATGCAGTATTTGAAAGTAAGTACAATGTTTTTGTTGTTGATTTTCAAAAGTTTAAAGGGACTAGGGTAGTGACTTCTACCTAGGTGGATATCTAACGGGTAGTAAGAATCTAGGACAATCGTGTGATTAATTGGGGTCGTAATATAGCTATCACACCCGGGTGCTCACTCTATACCTCTCGGTAGTTTGAGTGATTTTGCCCAATTTGGCTTTATCAAGTCCAAATGGGTATTCATGCAATACAAGTGATATTAGCTCAAAACGGATATTACTATCTCTAGGTTTAACCCTTTTGTTGGGGCTATCAATTTCTTGTGTTCACCCCAGTTTCTTGTTAGCCTAGTTTTCCTAGACTTATTCCATCTTTCTCAAGTAGAGACTAAGTCATAAAGGCATAAATCAGTGTTTGCAACCATCAATTCATTAGTTCGAGCAAGAACTAGGCTAAATACTACTAACACATACACATTCAAGCCCTAAAATTCAAGACCCATCAAATACCCACACTAGGTTTGGGTCACAACCCTAGCTATGGGTTAGCTACTCAAGGAAATAATAGAAATCAAAGATAAAATAAAGATAAAATCCATAATACTAGATTAAAAGATGAAAAGCTAATGTTAAAAGTTAAATCTAATACAAAATTGCTCAAAATGGAATTTGCAGCCATCTCACGTGCTCAGCAAAAAGAAAACTTAACCTAAAAATGTCAAAAAGATCTATTTATACTAAGCTGAAATTTTCGGATAAAAATACCCTTGCGGAGGTTTCGCGGCTGCGTAATTTTGACCGCGGCCGCACTCTTTCTTTCGCTGCCGCGTAATTCTGATCGCGGTCTGCGTTTCTTCATATCTGGGCCTGGGTTGAACCTTGTTTCGCAGACCGCGTTCCTTCCACCACGTACGCGTGAGAGACTTTCGCGGCTGCGTATTCTAAACGCGAACCGCCCTTCTCACTTTTGCATCACTTGTGAACTTTCTGAATCTTGGAAATCGCGGTCCTTGGAATTCTAATCATGGCCGCAATGGTACTTTCGCGGTCGCCTCTTTCTGACGCGGTCTTTGTTCATATTTGTGGCCAAAAACAACCTCTCTAATTCTCCATTTCGCGAGCTGCGTAATTATGACTGCTTCTGCATTGATACTTTCGAGGCCGCACTTTTCTATCACGGTCCTCGTTGCACATCTCTTGGCCTAGTCTTTCTTTGTTCAAGTTTTGACTCCTTTATGAGTTTATCATGGCTATTTTGGCTCATTGTGAACAATCCCTGCAAGAAAGCATATTACATCAGTTTTCGGGATTACCTTTACGCATTTTAAGCCAAAAACGCAATTAAAAGAAAGTAAATAATGGTTAAAATCCCTCTTATTAGAGACTAGGGTGCTTAACATGATAAGGAGGTTATGTTATGAGTTATTATAGTTGTATGATAGTCGTATGTTGAGTTTAAAGTCAAGCAAGTTGTGAAACAAAAGTTAGCAAGGGTCATCATAAGTTACATTCATAAATTTGCTGAAAATTAGGTCAAATCTAGCTGAGCTTTTCTTCCAATTTACTTTGAATTATGGGATGATCCACCTACCAAATTGAATATCTATGAGTCTAGTTTTTAACATATTAAATCATTTGTTGATACGACATCGTATTAGAGAGATATTCGCATTTTCGCGAGACTGCACAAGCAGCTCCCAATGGGACCCACTTAGGCAGTGGTCGACCTACTTCACTTTAAAAATGATTTGGACGATCTTTATTTCTCATTTTTCAACCCAACCTCGTCCCTACACTCCTACTAACCCTCCTAAACAAATACCATAACGTTTGAAGTGATTCCAAAGTGATTAAACCATATTTCAATATCAAAAATTAATTCTAGTGAAGAACAACACCTCTCTGAGGTTGTGTTGTCATTGAGGATAATTGTGTGTTGTTTTTGGCTGAAATTTCAAGTTTTTGCTACTGCAAAAGGTGAGTATAATAGCCTACTAATTATGCTTAAGCTTTCTTGTATGTTGGTTAAGTTTTTAGGATGATAAACTACAAGATAATACTTGGATTAACTTGAGATGTTGTTCTTGATGGATTGATTTGAAAGTTGCTCTTATGAACTTTAAATGGCTGGAAATTATGGAAAATAAGTTGGCTATGATATTTTTAGTATTATTATGTTGGTTTACATGTCAATCTTGTAGAGGAAATTGGTAACTAGAAAAGAAAATTGCTATAAAGCACTTGGAAGTTGTCCACAGTGATATTATCTTGTGTTAGGCTATTTTGGGTAACGTTGAAATAGAGTAAAAGATTGGAAATCATTTAAAAGGTATTGATTATTATACTGGATATATTACTAAGTTCAAGAATGAATGATAATGGGGTTGAAGGGTGTTAAAGGGATTCAATCCGAGCTTGTCGCTCGTTGTGATATGTTGAGGACTTGTTAATGAAATATTTTGTACCCTATTGTTGATGTTGTTCTTATTGTATTGATCTAGTTGTTGTTGTTTATGGTATATGGTATTGGAGGAGACCCTTGTTATAGGGGATATGTTGCCCAAATTTACATAAACGAGCTACTA